GCTTTGATAATTTTTTGTATAATTTTTATTGTTATCTGGCTGTCACCGGATCGGAATCTCCGTCACCTATTATTTGGGCGAATTGACCTCTGAAAGAAAATTTAAACAATGTCTATTATCTCGACAAAAAATCACGTCCTTAGATAGACTCAAGATGTCAAAAACTTAGCCCATTTACATTTGTATAAGCCATTTGTACAGCTCACATTTTACTTCGTATTTCAAAAACTTCTCTAATAATTATAAGTCCAATTTAGAGAATCTACAGAGGACTGGCGTATTCTCGAAAATGATATTCATTTCTTTTAGAAATATTATTAAGAATATATAATTTATTTAATCTTATCGAAGATTTCAAATAGCACATTTCTAAATAACTAGGTAATTTTTCAAACATTATTGAAAATAACAATAATATTAATTATCTCAGTAGAAATAACTGTTTATTAAGAATTTTAATAATTATTATTTAAAGAAAAATCACTTACATAAATACGAATGATTAGTTGTCTTTATTTTAATATATTAAAATATAGTGTTTATAACTTGTCAAATTCAATAAAATACCCGAAAACGCACATTTTTCGTATAAAATATTGTATCATCGAAAGTATAGCAAAGGTCGTGTTTCAACTCGTAATAAATAAATACTAAAAAGATTTGCTACTTCTATCAATCGAACTTTTCAGTTCATTTACAGGCGCTCATTCAAGAGTAGACAACGTATAACTTATGGTATACCTTAAATATACATTGTTTTATAAAATGTTTGATATTTATAAAATTTATGATATACAATGCTTTAATAATTTTATTTTTCTAAAAAAATTAATGTATTTAAAATTTGAATATTTACAAATAAAATATATATTTTAAATGTTTAAATATTGTTTTAAATACTTTTAAATATCAAATTTTTGAGTATTAAACAGAACAAATTAGAAATAAAAAAACGTTTTTTTTTTTTTGCAACTTTGGGTTTTGTTAAAGTAATTGCCTTAATAGCTTAGAATTAATTTAATTAGTTAGTTCATTAGTTTACAAATGTATAATTACGATTTTTATTATGTTTTTTTTAAATTTATATACCTCTTAGTTAAAGGTTAAGTTATTATACTATTGTTATCTTTTACACATTAATTTTATGCATTGTATTTAAATAGTTGTCTCGCGGATTTTATTTTATTAGTTTTCTCATGAATTTCATTTGTTCGAATCCCCTTAAATTATATTTTACTTTATTCTATTACCTTAAATGCTTTTGATAATTAAGTGTAGTTTATTACATTTAACTGATTACGAGTAGCTTTGTTGTGATACATCTAATAACCTAGAATTCTCTCATTTAATCGTATAAATCGCTAGACCTACTTATAAATAAAAATATTTTTTATTTAATTTAAATTTAAGGCAATTCTAAATAACACACACGGTTGACATATTTCTAAAAGAAAATGAAAATTACAAAATGTAAGCCTTTTTTTCACAATTATATAAAAGCCTCTAATAAAAAAAAAGCGTTTCAGCAACGTGTGTCTTTTATGATTATAATTCTTAGTTATTGTTCAACATCAGTATCAGGTAATTAATACCATATTATTGATTATAATTCTAGATTTTCTTTAAATGTATTTTTATGTATTCTAATGTATGAAAGAATATTACTAACAATGTTGTTAGACAAAATATTTATAAAAATCTAATATTATCCATTATTGTAAAAATAATCATTGTTATTAATGTTGAATATTAATAATTATATCATGAAAAGGATAAGAAGCGTATTAAGTAAGAGATTTCTTGTAAATATTAAAAAATATTTTCAATATTTTAAGCGTCTATAAGCACGAATGGTGATAGAAATTACGAAACTTTGTGTAAAAAAATTATAGCTTTTAATTTATCATATTAAACAAAAAAGAACGTTAATTTTTTTGATTATTTACCGAGTTTGTTGGGCCCTTTAAAGCGTAGTACCTCAAGCAGGTACACACTTTGTACATCCCTATCACTAGCTTTGTCATTAATTAAATATATTTGAAATATCTGGAAGCGACTTACATATTTTTACAATGATAGGCTCGAGAAATCACAAAGTAATAATAAAAAAAAAATAGAATTTATTCAGACAAATTGAAAATAATTAATTAATACATGATTATAGCTAGATTAATTTATTTCTTGTTAAAATACTCTTTCAATCTCTATGGCCTTTTCAATGTTACATTCGGTTTGAAATGTTTTGCTTATTTCTTCTGGATTATCGGTTATCTAACAATCTATACCAGTTGGGCTCTCATCGTTAATATTGTTTTGGTCTTGTTCAAATTCTCTTCCTTCGTGTAAGTTAAATTCTATAGTATTATTTATCTTACTATCGTTATCTATATTATTTTTTATATTTCTTACATCTTTTACATGTTCTTTAATCTTCTCTAAATCATCGACCTTCTCCAATATACTTTTGCGTTTATTTTTGATCTTTATATTATTAGAATTCTTAATTGATGTGGCTTTCTTTTCAAAAAAATAAATTTTGTGTTTTATTCCTTAAAACATATTAATAATATTTATAATTTTTTTTTATTATTATTGTATATGGCTAAGTGAGTTAAATATAAATGTATTTTTAAACGAAATAAATAACTTTCTATTTATATTTAAACATAACTATATACTTGACGATTTAAATTGTCCTATCAGAAGTAATAACTACTTCTAAGAGGAACAATGAATTTAAAATTACTCCATTCATTTATATTTTTACCACTTGACCTATGACTGTTGTTAGATTGAATGTATACAATATAAATATTTTGATTCATTAGATATTTTTACATTCAAATACATGACACATTCTGGCTTTTCAATGTCAAAATTTCATGATTTGTCAATCCCTTTGAAACTCTATTTTTTTTATAGAGGTGTTATTAGAATTTTGTTCTAGTTTTGAGATAAGTGTATATCACTATTATAGTGATATAATACAGGTGTCCAGTAAGAAAAGAAACAGGTCAATTGTTACGAAAAATGAGAACAATAGAAAACCGTTTCCTTACTTACTACACATGGGTACATTTATAATTAACTAGCTTATTTATAGAATAACGATCTAATTAAGAAGATAACAGATGAATAATAATTTTTGGATCAATATTTCAGAAATTATTAACTATTTAAAGTTATAACTGTCGGTTAGTATTGGGTGTTGCTGCTATTTTTATTGCTAGACATTACTTAAACGTAATCCTTCTCTTACAGATGTATAAAAATGAAAAAACATTCGAAGTATTGATCCAAAAATTGTTATTGATTAGTCATTTTTTTAATTAAATCATTTTAAAATGTATAAGTTAGTTAGATATATAATATGTAATTAATAGTTGATAAATCAAATAATATTACTAAAAATGACTTTCTTTTATGATAAATCGATTACTCTGTGTTATTATGTGATATCACATAAACGATATTACGTTTTTTTATTATGTGTTTGTCACTACTAATACCTATAGATTATTAAAAAACAAACGTTTTATCTTAAAGTTTACTAATGTAACTAATTTATACTTAAGCTGAAACTTATTGGTTCTCTGCTGCTCATAAAATGTCAGTTTGTTTTTAGCGTTGATAATGATAATGTTGTTTCCGAAATACGTAACTGCGAGTTATTAGTAATTTTTTGTGACTTTTAGAGCTAAATATTTTTTTGTTTTAAATGAATATTTTTAATAAAATTTTAAATAATACCTGCCATTCTTTATTAATTGTTATAAAACTATGTTTCATATACAATTATTGTAAAATATATTTATAGAGATAATTTTATTGTTTAAATAATAAATTATCAATTTTATTACATCATAAAATAATTATTAATTTTATTAAATTTTTACTTTAAATAATAATAACATTTTTTACTTTAAACGTTTAAATAGGCTATATTGAGTAATAACAGTAACTCTTATATAAAATTAAAAAGTATTTTTATTATTTTTTTTTTTGACATTATAAAGTCGTGTACTAAAAATTCGGCGCAATGAAATTTTGTAAAGCTGAATCCCTTCTTTTGATTAAACTCAGCGTTAGAGAGAACAAATGTTGTATTAAAGTATTTGACAAATCATTATTTTTAATAATAAAATTACAAAATGTATTCTTTAAATGATTTTGTAAAGGTCAATTTATCTAAATGTACCCTTGACTTGCCCTTAAAATTTTTTTTCTTTATTTCTTTGTTTTTATTAATTACTAAATCTATGTTATTAGAAACTGTTTCTTTTGTGGATATATCTGTTATTAGACAAACTATTTGAGTTTGTCGATTCAATTCAAAAATAACTTCTTTTATTTTTTTTCGTTTAATTATTTGTTTACTTAAATTGGTTTCATTAGCATTTTTAATCAATTGTTTGAATGTTAAAATCATATTATTCACTTTTTCGGTATATATATTTGACATTATTTTTAATAGACACTTATAAATATAATGTACGGAATATGTAAAACTAATTACAATTAAACAATAAATAAAGAATTTTAAACAATATTAATTTTGATAGTTCGACAATTTAAGAACACAATAGTGAATTATACAATTAAGTTTGCATGTACATTTATTAAATGTAAATAAATATTTGTGTTTTACTATAGAAGCAAAATAGTTGTTTATAAAATATGAAAATGTATTAAGCATGTATAGTAATTTAATATTATATATTTTCATCAAGGAATCATTTAATTGTAAGTAATTATTTTGTTATGAATGTAAGTTGTAACTAAAATAATAATTTATTATTTCCTATCTGTTACTCTATTAAAATAAAATAACAATGTCATATGATGAGATATGTAATTTAATAAGTTTAAATCATCAAAATAAAAATTTTTTCTCAAAATATTCCTCATGGAATTTAATTTTTATTCAGGTTCTATTAAAAACGATGATACCTTACACTGCTGAAATTATTCTTCAATCTAATTATGATGAATATATTAATGCATAATGTTACTATATAACTAATATGAAATTTGTTTGATAAAATCATAAAAATTTTGAATTTTTTCCCCATTTTTTTTAAAAAGTGCAAAAATCACTGCGCCCAATGAGATTTGAACACAGGACCTCAAATTCAATAGACTCGCGTGTTATCACCCTGGAAAATGACCTCTGCAATTACATGACAAAAAGGAGGATTCAAGCAGTAAATATCGGCTTCATAATCAGTATTATACAGGCAGATTTATATATTATTACCCCTATTTTTCTCATAAAATACTCCCCAGTATCAATTTATATTACTACGTGATATAATAATTAAAAAAATGTATTTTAACAAATTTAAATGATTTTTTAAATAATAATATTTACGAATTAAAAGTATATTATTATTCGTAAATTTTTGCAATTTATATTGATGTATCTTTGACCTAAATAATGCTTTTGTAATCTTAAGATAGGCATTAAACTAGTTGTATTCATTTAATTTAAAAAAAATTTAATGAATATTTATGTTTTTATTGTCTATTTTAGCTATACAATTCCCTGAGGATATCTCATTTGGAACTTCTACTAATGCATATCAAATTGAAGGTACTTGGAATGCTGATGGTATAACACTTAATATATATCATTTATACAGTTCAAAATAAAATAGCAAATTTTTTTGTTTTTAGGGAACAGCAAAAATATTTGGGATAAATATTTTTTGAATAAATATTCATCTGTAAATGAATTAAACAATGTCTCTCATGAACAAAAAGCAAATAATAATAGTGGCATGATTGCATGTGATGCATATCATAAAACTGATGTCGATGTACAAAATCTCAAGAATCTTGGTGTTAGTAGTACATATTTTTTAATAAATAATTAAAATTACTGTTTTACAACATGGTATATATTAATGTTAAATGAAAAACTTGAAAAATATACCTATACAAATAAGTTTTCATTGGAGTTTTATATACTTTTTATGTAGGAATATAAAACTAATTATCGAAAGTGTAGTACTTATTATCATATTATATGTTTACCAAAATTATTATTTACTAATTATTTAATTACACTAAAAAATATTCAACTTTTTTTTCTAAACAATTAATGAACTCATATATAATAACATTTAATGAATTTTATTTTAAAAAAGCTTTTTAAAAAAATTAAAAAAAAATTTTTTTTTTTTTTGTATAATTTATATAATATTAATTTGAAATTATTTTCGAAATATATTCTACATAATTACTCAAATTAAACGAATGGCGTAAAGTTAATTTAATTGAAAAACATATTGTTTTTTTTTAACACGCTTTTATTAGCTTCATTTTAATTCAAGACGAATTCTAAGTTAGAAAAATTTTAAAAATATAAAAATTTTGGTTCTATTATAGTTTATTTAATCACAGATAATTAATATATCTTCATAATATAATTAATTATATTTCAACAAGTTCAAATTTATCATTTTTCCATAAGTTGGACAAGAGTTTTACCAAACGTATTCGATCAAAAACCCAGCCTAATGGGTGTTAAATATTATAATGATTTAATAAATAAATTGCTTCAAACTAATATTAAACCAGTGGTAATACAATTTTTCATTCTAAAATTAATAGGTTTTTATTACACTGATAATATTACTATATAAAAAAAAAATGAAACAAACTCAAAAAAAAAATATATATTTAATCAATAAGTGACTATTTATCATTGGGACTTGCCTGAATTTTTACAAAAACTTGGTGGTTGGACTAATATAAAAATCATTAAATATTTTGAATATTATTGCGAATTTGTTTTTGAAACATTTGGAGATAGAGTAAGTTAACTAAATATCGATAAATAAAATATAAAATATATTAAAGTTTTATTTTTATGATAAGGTTAAATACTGGATTACAATAAACGAACCTCATTGGGTTTCTGAAGGATATAGATTTGATCAATTAGCTCCAGCTTTGGGGTATGCTTATAGTGGAATCGCTGATTATATGGTTATTCATAATTTATTACTTGCTCATGCAGCAGCATACAGATTATACGAAAAGAACTATAAAAAGACACAAAAAGGTTTAAATTTTTTTTTTTATTTATTGTAAAACTATTAAAATATAAAACGGAATTTAACTTAATCAATAAAAATAGGAAAAATGAGTATAAATATAGATTATTATTTAATATTAGATATTATTTATATAATATTATTTAGATTAATATTTAATGGTGTTTTCCAAAAGATTCTCATAATGAGGAAGATAAAGAAGCTGCTGAAATCGCATTACAGTATCACGTAATTATCAAAATCTAAAATTCATTATTATTTTTAATTTGTACATGTATTTAGATATAATATTCGATTTTAGGTAGGCATGTTTACTGAGCCTCTAATAACTGTTGTTTAACCAAAAAATGTCATTAAGTCGATCAATAAATCAAATGAAGATTTTAATTTAACAATTAAACGGACATATTCGTTCACAGAAGAAGAAAAAAAACAACTTATAGGTATTTTACTATTCAAGAATCTATACTTATACTCTAATTTCAGAAATAGTATTTTAGGAATTAAGGGTACCAACATTTGCATCCTGTGAATAATATCCTAAAATTGGCTAATATTAAACTTTATTAACTTTTCGCTGATCAAGTGATGAGCAAAACCAGGCATTTAATTCATAATTACTACGTTTATTTGAAACTGCTAAACGGTTTAAAGTGAATTCGTTTTAAAAATAAAACTTAAGTTTTAGATGATTTAATATTATGAAATGCAATTATTTTAAACGGTTTTAATTTAGTTATGGAAACAGGGATTAATTATTGATTATTGACTCAATCTAACTTTTTAAAAACTTTATAAGTTTTTTTCATACCAAATGTTTTCGAGGATTCTTTATTTTTTTAATCTGTTTTAAATTATTTTAAAACGGTTTAAAAAAAATAATTTAGTAATAAAATAAAAACCTAGTAAATATTTTCTGAAGTACTGCCTGAAAAACGCACACTCAATGCTCTCCCTCAAAAGTATTTTAATCGTAATGAGTATTATTAATTCTTCGTTTTGAAATAGAACGTAAATCAATTATGATGTTCTTAATTTTTAAATGTTAAACTAATATAACATTTTATCCTAATAACATCCTTGATCTTAATAAATGGGTATTTTTCATAATGAAATAAAATATATTTTTTAGGGTCCTATGATTTTGTATCTATTAGTTATTATCATTCAACTTATGTAAGAGCTTTATCTAAAGATGAAAGAGAACAAAGTGATAATTTAAGAATGAAAGACATACCAGTAAATGAAACCGACATACAAAATATTAACCAAGTAACTAGTTATTATTTGTTTATAATAATTAACTTGACTGATTGTTTAAATTACTGATATTATTTTGTCATTTTTTTTTTTTTTTTGTACGAGTATAGAATGCTTTAGGATTTTCATTAGTATTAAACTGGTTAAAAGAAAAATTCAATAATTCAGAAATATTCATTGCTGAAAATGGTTTCTCTGGTACAACGGAAGATGAGAAATCTGTTGAAAAGAAACAATATCATCATGTAATATATTGTAATAACACATTTTGAAATAATCAATTAAACAATTGAAAATTCTCTAAAAACAAATAGTTATTCTTAAAAATTAAGCTTGACGGAGACTAAAAATAGTTATACCATCAGGGTTATGTTTAGAAGAGAAAAATAATCGGGCGGCACGTTTTAAGGACATAACTTTAATTATTAAAGTTTATTTTACATATGATTGCTACTTTTTCAATTAAAATTTTGAGCAATAATAACATTTTGTTATATGGCTCTGCTCATCATTGAGATTAATTTTGTTTCTTCCATATAACATAGCAAGATCTTTATGGAATAAAATATATAATTGTATCTAACTATTATTCAAAATACTCATAAAGACAACATAAAGGCTAAAATAAAAATTGATAAACTGTTTTATTGTAACATAAAATTATTTCCAGGGAGAAAAAATAGGTGCCAATTATTTTCAAATAAACATTTTTCCAATACAAATGTTTAATCCAAATATAATTCCATAAAATGAAAAATAAATATTTTATTAGTATTAGTAATGATTTCATAAGTAAAAAATTTACTCTATTTCAAGTACTGTAATTAAGTTTTCGTCTGAGGAAAAGGTATATTTACAAGAATATTTTTAAGTACCCACTTCAAACAAAAAATTGGTGATACCAACTGGTGTAATTCTTTAGGAAAAAACTTTAGAAATTATATTATTTAGTAATAATAATATTATTTATGATATTTATAATATATCTATATTTAGGTGTGTTTTGAAATTTAAAAATAATGTAAATTGAAAGTTGAGTTATAATGCAGTTTGTGGTCAAATGAGAAATACGATTGAATATATGTGTATTATTATCTATAATGAATGAATGAATTTGATACCGTTAAAAAAATATTAGTCTGAATAACACACACAACTGGTTTTCACATCGAGCCAAGAGGGCGGCGGCGGTGGACGATATTATAAATACATGTATATGTAACAATGTTATTACCATAATTATCTCTATACGCAGTCTACGTGTTATATTTCTCATGTGCTTTCGAAAAAATGCACTGGGTGGTGGTTTTGCGGCTCGAGACCCGTAGGCGAAAAAAACGATCATCGAGAGCACCCGCGAGCCTGCTGGCGAGTACATTAAAATATTATAGTAGCGGTTCGCACCGATTATAACTTGTAGGTGCGCACAAACACACAGCTTGATCACAATAATATATTATATTTTAATATCACGCGATGTTCAGCAGCCCGAAATATCATATTCATATTGATTTGATTTTTTTATGCTCGAAGCGCTCGTCTGTGTTGTAAGCAAAATATTAATAATGTAAACCTTCAGTAGTAATTGTATGGGATTCAGCTCCCGCGGGTTGACACACTCGCGATGAAAGTCTGTAATATAATGGACTTGTACAGTAATTTTAATTATATTTGAGGTTTCTTTGACCATGCGACTACAACAGACGGAAGTCGACCCGCCGGCCGTACAAACTGGACTATCCAAAACATTTATAAATGCTAAGACATTAATACTACTATATTAATCTATTTTGAATATGTGGCAGTAAAGAGATCATTAATACTATTATTATTGTTTTACTTAAACGGTAGTCGAACATTGGGAATCACACACCGATAATTATAACTGGAGGCATGCTTACTTAATAGCTTCCATAATATTGATCGTTTGTTATTAATATTTATTAGCCCCATCGGTTTCTACTCAATTATTTTATCTGCGTCGTGAAAGAAATATATAAAAAATTAAATATATCGGCAACAAAAATCGCAGTACCGTGTTAACTGTTAACTTTAAACAGAAAATGAATTAGAAATCAATATTCAATGATTTCCTTACGAGTATATAATTTCACAAACACAATTTCTTTGGGATATAAGTTTGGTACAATGAAGAGAGTTATAGCTAGTTTTCAAAGAACAGTATGCGGTACGTGATTTGGAATAGACATAGTTATTACTTAATAAACCACTGATTAAATAGTGAGTAGAGTAGCAGAAAATTCTCTGCGTGATCATTGCAGAGTAGTTTTTGTTTACCGGCGGGGTATCTCTCGTGCTCATTATCATGTTGAAATTTTGATTGGGTGTGCTAAATTCTCATAAATAAAACTACTAGTATAGTGTAATAAATAAAATTAAAAATTATTAATTGTTTGAATAGATTAGATTGTTTAGTCAAATATGTCTTCAATAAAATATCCTGCACAGTAATTACACACATTATTGCAACATAGTAACCAAATAATATGATAATGAAATACTTAATCAAGACGGTTAAAAACTTAAACTTTTGGAAACTACAAAAAAAAAATAATATAGATTGACATTTAACCATAATTTACAATAAAATCATAAAATGCTTCAATGCAAGTATTAAAACTTATTATCTCTAATATATCCTATTGAATTTGTTTAGTATCAGTGTTTTAAAAAAAAGTTATAGCAATTCTAAAGTACAGAAGAAATTCTTTGAAAATTCCATTTTTACAGTAGCATATTTTTGAGATATATTTTTAAAATTAAGAGGTTATTTTTTTCAAATTTTTGGCACCGATAGGTTTAATTAGATTAAATTCAGGTTCTTTTAATGCATAAATCAACATAATTGATCTAGTGAGAACTGAACATTTTTATCGACTAACACAAAAATATATATTATGGAAATATCAATACTTTCTTAGGTTCGCAGAGAAATTAGAATATACTAAAAGGTATCATTGCTCGAGTACGTTTTACATCTGTTGGTTTACTTCTACGAAAGTAAGCCTTCATCATACGCCTTCATTTGATATCTTAAGTTTGTTAATTATAGTTTCTAAAAAAAATCAATTATTTGACTTTAACTACTAAAAGCATATTGCTATAAGAAAAAATTCCACATAAATTTAACTTTGTTTGTAAGTAGAAGAGCCATAAATATAAAAAAGTAAAATATCTATTGTATTATCATTCTTTAAATTCATTTAAGTGTTGTAACGTAATAAAATTATATTGTATATAAGGTCACAGATTATTATATTCAAAAAGTGCGCATCGTACATCTGTAGGTTCATTGTTACACATATAAACCCAGATTTATTTAGTAAATTAATAAATTATTCCTACCAACTGTTATCCTTACCCTGCTTATCATTTTATTATAATATTAACAATCAATCAATACTGGTCACACTGTCATCTATCCTCTTCCATGTGATAACGAGCCAAATTGGGAAATGAGAACTGTACGGTTATGTTCAAAAAGTCCAATACATCATCGTCAACTTTTTAATTGATGGCTGTTACGAATCCATAATGGAGGAATAAAAAATTTTATTTGGCTTAACCAAAAGTGATAATATCACTAACCTTATAATGCGTTATTACTTATTATTATTTATTTTGTCTCAGCACAGTGTGCATATTTTATTAACTTTATAATGTTGTTATTCAATTAACCGTGAGGTAACATATTTATTTGAGTTGGATGGTCAATTCTTTTCTTTTACTTTGACTCTTTTTTCTTCCTCTTTCGTTAACTAACAGGTCAGCAGGTGGGCATGGTGAACATCTCATTGGGTCCTCTACATTTATGTAGAGGATACCCATTAACGTTGGTGACATGTCCATTATAATCAGACCACATGCGTTGGATCTGTCATACTGTCATGCATTACACCCCTATTTTATTCTGTTCTTTTAATCTTATTGTTACATTATTAAATATTATGTTCAAATTTAATATACTTTATAAAAATGATTTTTTATTCAGTTATTATTTGGTATATCTGCAAATTTGTTTTGATAATGAATACTTGAATATTGCTTATTTGGACACTATGTTCAACTTACATTAATCATATGTCATTATACTACTTAAAAAATACAAAGGCCGTTCCGATGCCTGATTGTAAATATTTAATTGTATGTCATTGTAACAAATCATAAACTGTTCTACAGTTATGTGAACTAAATCTTGGCTAAAATAATTAAAAAATAATTTAATAAGCAGACAAACATATTATTGTAATTATTATATATTTATTTTATTAATATTATTTGAATTTTCTATTTTATTTTATTTTGCTTTGTTGATTACAAGATTAATTTATAATATTTAATAAATTTTAATAATTGTTATATTCATTCAAAACTGTTAATCATTAGCATCATTTTCCCTCTATGATAAGGTACAAAATACACGATACTCCGGTTTATCCTTTAGCTTGAGTCGGTCCACGGTGAACCCTTTCGGGGTTCTTGTTAAAGTTGGGCTCATTATTATAAATTTATCTTACAGTGTTTATTTTAGTGAGTTATAATTTTTAACAGATTTAGTAGATTTATAAAATTTGTTTAGAAAGAAAATTGTTTTTTCAAGTTGTATAATGTTTTAATTATTATTTCAATAAAGCCAATAAATCTGCATAATTGATTCTACATCGTAAGTTAGTTGTTGCTCTGGCATGTTCGAAAAAGCTTATATTGAATTATGTAAATTAAGTAATTTAAATGTTCAGCTAACGACATTAAGTACGTGTATTGTTTGTTTTTTCGATAATGGTATAAGTTGACTTTTTAATGCTGTTTACGGTATTTGATACAAATCATGAAATTTAAATCTAACGACCACGTTAATTTCCTAATACAATTATATTGAAGACCGCTACTACAGCCTACCATGCATTTGATTAAATCCGGTTATAATATGTTAGCTGTCCATTAACCTTATGTATAAGTCAATACAATAACCCAATCAGTGTTTCTAAACTTTTGAACGATAAAATTTAAATAACAATAATTTAGTAGATGGATTTAATTAAAATTCAAGTATAATACGCACGTAATATGTAAAACTTGGGCTGTTATAAAAATAACTAACGGATATGTGAATAGAAATAAGCAATAATTTCCCAGTCATCGTGTGATTAAACAGTAAATTTTATGTTGTATGAGACACATGAACAATCAAAAGAAAACATATTTTAGAATATAAAAACTGTAAAGATAATGATTTTTCTTTAGCTCTGAGTCAAACGCTAAATGATTATTAGATGCGTAGGCAGGAATTAAAGTACTTTCTTAAGTTTGTTCCTACCTCGATCGAGATTATTATTATCTAAGTAATTGTAAAAACAACACATCAAATGC